GGATAAGGACTATTTTTCCAAAAAACAATGAACAGGAATATTGAAATCCACATAGATGCTGATTGGGCAGGTTCTATAACTGACAGAAGATTTACATCTGGGTACTGTACTTACATTTGGGGAAACTTAGTCACTTGGCAGAGTAAGAAACAATCTGTTGTGTCATGAAGTAGCGAAAAAGCTGAATTTCGGTCACTTGCTTATGGAATATGTGAGGGAATTTGGTTAAAAAGAGTTCTAATGGAAATGAAATTTTTGGTTACTACTCCAATGAAAGTATGGTGCGACAATAAAGTAACAATCAGCATAGCTAAAAATGTGGTATATCGTGATCGAACTAAACACGTGGAAATAGATAGACACTTCATCAGGGAGAAGATTGAAGATAAGACCATTATAATACTCCACGTTCCTACTAATTAGCAAACTGCAGATAATTTATAAAAGACACTTTTCAAAGGACTCTTCAACGAATTAATATCCAATTTAGGTTTACTAAACATTTATATAACCTAGATTGAGGGGGAGTGTAGAATTATTTTTCTGTATTTTTCATTTTTCTGTCTTTTACAACCTGGCAATATAACAAAATGGTTACTGTCAGGTTGTGCTGTTTTTTCCCTTCCACTAGGGAAGTTTATTAGTTTTTGTCTTTTTCTTCTTTCCTTTGCCTATAAAATGTTGCTGATTATCGATGAATAAAAGAAGAGTGAGAAGGAAAGAAAAGTTTTTCTTATTCTCAAGTTCTTCATTTATGATTGGTTATAATTTATTTTTGAATTATTTGAATTGAGAAGAATAGAAGGGATCTTGATAGTAAGGGCTACTAATGACTAAATGGATTCAAAGTCTAACGTTTTTGGTCTAATGGACAACTTGTGAAGAGACCTTGTTGTATCTGTCTTGTCAATAGCCGTACTTGGCGACAATCCTCCTGATTAGCTTTAATGTCTCTTTTAAAGGTTTCAATATATGATTATAAGGTCAAATAAATTATTCTAAACTCTCTTTTGCTTGATTATAAGGTTGATACTGGTTATACTTGTTATTTCGAAAGACAAATATATATGATTATAAGGTCAAATAAAAAACATCTTGTATGGCTGGAGTATCAATCATTCAAAAGTTTGATTAATGTTATCTACTATTATTTTTTAGGATTTTCAGTCAATAAAAAACTTAATAAGCTATTCTCTTTCTTTTTTCTTTGTCAGTAATGCAGCATAGTGTAAATAACTAAAGGCCCAGTTCCCTTTTAGAACCACTCAAATGCCACTAATTAAGCTATCTTTGTACTTGTATCAAAATCTGTTGTCTGCTGGAGTAATTGATTTAAGCTGGAGATGTTACTCGCTTTTCAGGTTGGTTATCTTCTTGGCTTAGGCGATCGACATCCGAGTAATCTTATGCTACACCGCTACAGGTACATTAATTTGGAGAAAGCAAAGCTGTTGCTTGTTAAAGTTCAAGTATTTAATATATCTGACTGTTCTTTTACAGCGGAAAGATATTGCACATAGATTTTGGAGACTGTTTTGAGGCTTCAATGAACCGGGAGAAGTTTCCTGAAAAAGTATGTTCTTGATGGAAATCTGCAATTTGCATTGTCACTTTTAATCAGTTGTTTAGTGGTATACAGATAGTTTATGTTTCTGCTGATATCTCTGATGTAGGTTCCCTTCCGCTTGACTAGAATGCTTGTGAAAGCAATGGAGGTTAGTGGTATTGAGGGAAACTTCCGTTCGACCTGTGAAAATGTGATGCAAGTTCTTCGAACAAACAAGGACAGTGTTATGGCAATGATGGAGGTACGGGATGTGGATAATGGAATTGTTTTTTTTATACTGTTTCTGCTTCAATATATTTTTTGCATAAAGTGAATCAGTTTATTTGATCAAGCTCTTCATATAACTGGAAACTGGGATGTCTCAACTGATAGAAGTGAATGTAGCAGTGATTGTGCAGGTTTTAATTTAGCTTCAGAAAAGTAGTTTCTGTCCATGTTTCTCATTCTTTATAATCCCATGTGATAACCCACCCTATCACTGAAAGAAGCATCCAGATCACAGCAACTAAGACACAAGCTGCACAAACTCGAGAAACTGCAGTATCCAGCCAGTAAAGCTAACTCTCCTGAAGCACAAAGAAAACCTGCAAAAACAGTGATTAGGAACCAACAATCTAACTCCCACCCTTCCCCCAAAACTCATCAGCAATTCCCCTTTATTTATATAGTTTCTGTTAGAACTTTGAGAATCTTAAACCCCTCTTATTATAATTTGCCTTTCCCAGCCTTTTACTGAATATTTTTGCAAAGTCAATTAACCTCAATCTCTTGCACTTAGTTGCGCACATTAGCCTTGCATTTGATCTTTCTTGTGAAGCTCTTCATTCTCGCGGCTTGCACCTTTTATTGCTTCCGATGTCTTGGATTCATTCCATGAACCAAGCATGCTATACTCCTTGCACTGAAGGGGCATCTTGAAATAATACTTTTTCATTACTATTAGCTTGTTTTGCATCAATGTTAGATTAATATCATTAGTTTATTTTAGTCCCCGGTTTGCAGTCACCAAAAAGATTCATGGTTATGGAGTTTGTCTTGTTGTATAGTGGCACTTGAAGATCTGAAGTTGGTTTGAGTTGTTTTTTTTTAATTTTTTTTTCTTTCTGGGGAAAAGTAGAGAACTGATGAGGCAATCATCGTTCTAAATTCTAGTGGTGAGTTAGTAATTACCGTACACGTGTCCAAGGATCCAGGAATGCGACAGTAAAGTGCTGTAAATCTTATAGGCAACTGGTGTAGGCTACTGTGTGGTGTTTTCTGCCAAGATGTGTGGTGACCATTGTTTATTATGTTTGATTTTTGAGTTTCTGCTTTTACGTAGAATGGATGGCAGAGACTTGTTCGGAATTGGATAGTTAGGGTTTTGCTGCTGGAACCTCAATAAATTCAACTTTAGTATTAATTGACTTAATTTTCTATTTGGTCAGATTTTTGTTTCTGCATTTGCTGTCAGAAAGCAAAAGCTCTGGCTGAATACCAAAGATAGAAGTACCTTTTAAGTAAAAGCAAAATTTTTTTTTGGCTTCTGATAAAGGTGAAATCAGAAGCTTGAAATAGATGTGTTTGGAATAGAGCTTGTGCTGTAAAGAGTTAATGATGTTTTTAGTTACTATTTATTAATTTTATATTTCACTAACTTATTAACAATATTTTAATTTTTTTTAAATGAAAAAATATTGTAGTAAAGGCACGAAAAGGATTCAACCTGTATAAAAAATCTTTACAAATCTGTTATAGTATTAGTCAAACCCTAAATCCTTACTAGACTAAAGAGGATAACACTTTACTGAAAAACATAGTCTGAAATGGAGTATCCTTGTCTCTTAAGAAAATTTTATGTCCTCAACAGAACTATTTCTTTCTTTATAAATAATCTGTAAATAGCCAAATTTATCTAAAAAAATACCTATAAATAGCCAAATGAATAAGGCTAACACTCTTCTTGAAAGATTCATTCCCATGGATACCTCTCCAAGCCCAAATCTCATCTCTCATTGAACCAACCATTACTCAATTAACTTGCATAAAGTTATATGCCATAGACCAAAGCTGAGAAGCGAAGCACATCATAGAAGAAGATGGCTACCTGTTTCCCGTATCATTCTTACACAAATAATACTTGTTCACGAAGAATATTCCCTTTTTTGTAAGATTATCTGGAGTTGGGATTCAACCTCTTGTCACCTACCATAAAAAATGCCACTCTGTGGAGCTTTAATTTTCCTAATCAGTTTCTATGGTAAGTTCATTGCAACTCTTTCAATCTTTGCTGGATTGAGCTTTAATTTTCCTACTTGTCCAAAAATTGGATTAGATTCGTGTATTCATTTATTTCCCAATTGTTTAGGTTTCTAACCAAATCCACCACCCAAGACCTGTGGTCCTCATCCCACCTGAGAAAGAATTCAACTGTTGCTTCTCTGTTCCTTGCTATGAAGAAAATAGTGGGAAGATGTTGTTTCAAGAATTTTATCTCTGTACCATTCGACTGACCAAAAACTCACCTTGTGCCCTGAATCAATCTTCCATCTAATACACCCTTGAAAATCCTCTCTTCCCATTGTAATTTTCTTCCATTAACCAACCCCATGCAGCCATCTAGGTCTCTTAGAATGCCACTTTTTACTTTTTGTTCCAAATTTTTCTTTGATCACTCTTATCCAAGGTTGTTTCAGTCCTTCAGATGCTCTGGAGTTCTCTATATAGGCATGAGAATATTTTTTATTCTAGCATTAAAAGCATGCAGGATATTACCTTTATGTGTAATGGACCAAGCAGCCATAATAAGGAGAGAAATTGTTTTGCTTCTACACAAACAATTTCTGGAGAGTCTCAGTTGCTCTTTGCTAAAGAGGAAGGTTCTGGTGGTGTTAGGATTTTTCTCTGAAGTTGTTGAATTTCCTCTGATGTCCTTTCAATTAGTAGGTCTGCCGTGTAAGTCCCAGTAGGTGTCTTTCTGTTACCAAGTTATGACAGTGATCATATTTTGGTCTTTTCTTTGCTTTATGTTGTTGGATGAGGACACTCTTCCCAAAGCAATCAAGGCAGATGCCTCAGGATTGTAGGATGGATCTTGCTTTCTCAGCATCACTCGTGTGACTTCCTCACATCTCACTTTAGCAAATGCTTCTCGAAGACTAGGGATTGATCTTTTTGAAAGGTTTTTTCCACGTACTCAATTAGGTTTTTATTGAGACCTATTAAGAATTTGTACCATCGCTTGTGATCAACAAGTTTCTTATAGTATAAAGCATCATCTGGACATTTCGACGCATGTTCTTCAAACATATCCAACTGCTTCCAGTGTTTGTTGGGAATGTTGAAATATTTGACGGCGATAAATTCTCTGTCGTTGGTTATGAAGAAGACATTCAATGTTGAATAGTTCGGATGTGTTTTCGATGTGTGAGTATGGCTTCTTTGCAGCATCCTATGTTTCTACTGTTATTTTATATAGGAAACAATTCTCTCCTATTTTCATTCATTATGGAGTTGAGGAGCTATAACGTATCCTGGTTGTTCTTCGTGTTCCATGCCAGAAAGATTGGGTCTCTGTTTTTTTGGCTGGACTACTTCTCTCGTCAGGTATTTTTCTTTACCTTTCCTAGATATAAAAATGAAAACCAACTGGGACCAATTTAGGTAGTTATGACTGTTTAGTTTGTGAACGGAGATGGAGAAGGATGAGGCATCTGAGGCTCTTCGTTGGTTGATAGGACTTAGAATAATTTCTGATGATGAGCTCCTTTCTCGGCAGCCATAGAGGTTTTGGACCTTTTTTTTTTTTCTTTTAGGCTCTCAAAGGTTGCTTTTCTTACCATGAGAGATTCTGACTGAGAAGTGGTTCATTATATTATGGATGGATTAGCTGGTAACAAATAAAGAAACAATATCAGCTAATAAGCCCCAGGTCAAAGGAAGAATCAAATATCTTATTTATCCTAATTGAGAAGCAATAAAACAGGAAACAAAAGATAACAAATCAAAGAAACAAAAGCCTAAAATAGCAGTCACTCTCCTTTTAATGCTTTGTTGGATCAACCATTGACCTGACCCCAATGTCTCCATCTATTAAAGAAACTTTAATTGTATCCCAAGCCACCAAGTGAAATCTCATATGCTCGCCCGAATCTCCTCACACAAACTGTCTCTAAATGGCCTTTACGCTCCACTCATTAAAATAGTCAAAAGTGACAAGTAATAAATTGGTAGATTTGCAAGAGTACTTTTTTACTTTTTGTAAGTGTTGGTCTTCCAAACTTGTCAACTACTGGATTCTATATAGAGATATCTTTGAATTTGGACCACCCAATTGAGCGCCTGCTTTTCGCTATATCAGCCTCATCTCCTCTAGCTGCGCCTGAACATCTACGTGTAGTCACTAGCCATGCAGCTTTCTCTAATCATGCCTGAATATGTCCAGCCAGCAAGAATATTGGAGGTTACGTCTCAATCTACCAGCACCAACTTTCCAATAAGAAGCTCAACACAAACAATGGCGAATTTTAACTGTTTGACCGCCTATCCGCTTCAAGGGTAAAGATTACTTGAGTTGGTCACAATTAATTCGAATCACTCTCTTGATTCAAGGGTTGAGAAAAATTAAGCCAACTACTGGGCACTGGATCAGAGATAGGAGATCCCACTCTTGATGCTAGGGATGAGGAAGATTCTATGATTGTGTTTTGGCCCTGGAATTCTATGGCACCAGAGATCAATAAGCCAGCTATATGACTGGTATTCAATCCAGGAGACCTATTCCAAGGGGCAAGATACAGTGCAAATGTATGATCTAGTCATCAAAGTGTGGACAACCAAACAAGGTAACATAACAGTTAGAGAGTATTTAAACCTTTTGAAGGGCATATTGTAGGAGCTCGACCAGTATCATAGTATCACTATGGAAAACAGCAAATACACAGCCGTGTAAAAAAAATTTATTGAAAATGATAGAGTTTATCAATATATGGCAGGACTTAATAAGAAATATGATCAAGTAAGAGCCCAGATTATGGGAAAAGAAGAGATGTCGCCTCTCAATGAAGTAATATCCTTAATCAGTGCAGGGGAAAGTAGGAGGAGAGTTATGTTTGAATTTCGTACAACTGATAAGTAAAGGTTCTAAATCTCAACAGTTAGAGAAGAATCCAAGTCACAGTGCGATCTCCGCTGCTGGCAGGGATAAGAGTGTTATCTTGTGTTATAATTTTCCTTATTTTGTCCTTTCAATTATGCTTGCTTTTCTACTGATATTTTGTAGAGATGAAAGTTTCCTGTGTGGCTTAGTTTCCTCTTTGAGTTCTATTTTTTTCCCGTACTTTAGCCTATAAATACCCATTTACAAGTTCTATGGGCCTATGAATACTTATATACAAGTTAACAACAGTTACAATGCTGATAATATTTTTGCTCTATTCTTCATCAGCTGATTATTAATACTTCTCTTTTCAGGCCTTTGTTCATGATCCTCTCATTAATTGGCGTCTTTTCAATTTCAATGAAGTCCCACAAATGTCAGTGTTTTCAAGCACTCATGTTCCTCCTGTTGTGAATGCCGAAGAATCTGCTCAAAATAGGGAGCTTCTTCAGCCTCAACGGGGTGCTCGTGAAAGGGAGCTTCTACAGGTTTTACAATACACCAAACATGGATCATTTTTAACAATTCCATGATGTATGATTTTCATCTAACTGATTTTCATCTGTTAGGCTGTTAATCAACTCGGTGATGCTAATGAGGTTTTGAATGAACGTGCTATCATTGTGATGGCTCGTATGAGTCACAAACTGACAGGACGTGATTTTTCTTCGTGTTCTTCATTATCTCCTGGATCTATGCAATATGCTGTGGACCACAGTACATTGATCTCTGGTGACGCTCGTGAAGTCGAACATGGTTTGTCTGTCAAATTGCAAGTTCAAAAGTTGATTGGCCAGGCTACATCTCATGAAAATTTGTGCCAAAATTATGTCGGGTATGAAAATTTCAAATTCTCCTCAGTACAGTAGACATGCAGGCAAAGCTTATTTATGAACATTTATGTTTGCAAATGATAGTTTTTCTCTATTTTTTGGCCAATCGAATTAGTGGAGTCAGGTTTTGGCTGTTATCAGGTCAGAGATGGAAAAATAAAAAGTGTATTATTAAAGTATCAGAATTAAGTTGCTACTGTTAGAGTCATGATTTCTAATTTCAATATCCTAAACTTCATAGTTAGTGTTACTAATATCAAGTTGCTTGTAGTCTGAACAAAATTTATGTTGAAACAAGTTTGGCAATCTAGGTGGTACTCCAAAATTATCCGATCAATTTTGTCGATATAAGCTGCTCTGTCAGTTTGTACACTAATTATTATTGTTATTTTACTTTCTATCAAACGTTACCCATATTTTGTTTTTCTTTTTTTCTCAGATGGTGTCCTTTCTGGTAAGCAGCAGAAGATATGTTGATACTGTATGTATATAATGTACATAGCTGACCCAGCAGTGATCAATAGTGCTAATTTATTGTGCTAGTATTCTCTTGTAATCTGTAATTTGATGTATATCGATACTGCTGCATTGGTAATGTATAGACACTACACCAATTAATGAAACTCTTTTTTTTTTTTTTTTTTTTTTTTTTCTTCTTTTTTCTTTCCTTCTCGTGTGAATGCTACATTTGTAAGCTGTTGTCTCATGAACAGTGCTAATTATTTCATCTACTTGATAATTCTGCATGAGAATTCTATACAGTGGGTCCGAGCTTGCAGTTTTAATTTTAAGCAATGGTTTTTTAGCCCCCTTAATTATGGTTTTAAATTTTGTTACTTCCCAAGGGTTTTAAGGGTATGAAAACTGGCTTTTTACAGTTAAAATGTTTGCAAGTTTGAATTTACTGTAATTCTTTTACCTGGTGAATTGAGTGCTTCTGGAAATTAATGTTGGGTGCATTTGGTGTATTAACATCAGTTTTTAGTAAATTAGATTTAACATGGTATAACCTATTTTTAATTAATACAACAAATGGATGCAAACACCTCTGATTTTTTTCTCTAGAGAGAGTAAAAATACATTTCATTTCTTAACAAAACAGCACATGGTGCAGTGATGAAATTTGAACATCTTATTTGAAAGTTGTAAGCTTGAATATGATTGTTAACGTATTTTAATTACTATTTCAATAGATGATAGTAAAAGTAGTGATAGCTATATATTACTTCCATTTGTATAATGTGTTTAGAAATTTTTAACACTCAGCGTGGTAGATCTCTTTTACAGTAAAGGGCCAATGGAATTTTGTTTGCTACTCGGTCTCAATGTATGTGTATTATTCAAATAGAATATTACTGTATGTAATTGTTATTATTTCAATTAAATTCAAGACGAGATGGTAAGTGTATATTATACAAACCTATATTTATAATTTAACTACTTTTAATTTCTCTAACTTTAAACTTTTAGAGTGTGTTTAAATGACTTTCGAGATGATTTATTATTATTATATTATGTTGTATGATAATGGTAAAATTATATTATTTTTAGAAAAATTATATATTAATATAAAATAATGGCTAACTGTTTTTTTTTTTTTTTTTTTTTTTGGCAGTACTGATTGTAATTTATAAATAAATAAATAAATAAAAGAAAAAAAAAACATACATTTTCGTTCCGCCTTGACGCAATCCCTTTGAAGCCTTCTCTATCTTCCTCTCTTCTCTCGATCTCTGTATCCTAACAATGTCTCTTCTTCTGAAGTCAGTACCTCTCCTCCCTCTGCGGCTCAGATCCTTTTCTCTCTTCATCCATGGCACCATCCTCTTAACTGCAAAACCAGTACTTACGACCAGAACAACTGTTTTCTCTATTTCGGCTTCCGCCTCTCTTTATCCTCCTCATTCTTCTTCTTCTTCTTCTTCTTCTCCTTCCGCTGAAGCTCCATCCAGACCACCAGCTTCTCTCAAGGACGCATCACTGCACTGGGTCTCCAGGACCGCCTTCTGCGGCGAATTGTGCACTGAAGATGTGGGCAAAAGGGTCCGCCTCTGCGGGTGGGTTGCGCTCCACCGGGTCCATGGCGGCCTCACTTTTCTCAATCTTAGAGACCATACTGGAATTGTCCAGGTATAGACTTAATATACTCGAGCTCTGCATAATTTGCTATCTACGAATGGGCTTTGTAGATGAATAACCGTTGCTTTATTTTTATTGATTTTTTTTTTTTTTTTTTCTGGAATAAGTAATTTTTAGTGTCGAAAATGTTGAGTGGTAGGTTACGACACTTCCCGATGGATTCCCCGATGCACATTCCACTATCAATGACTTGAGGCTTGAGTATGTGATCGCTGTGGAAGGAATTGTTCGGTCTAGACCAAAGGAGTCAGTCAATAAGAAAATGAAAACTGGTTTAATAGAGGTATATTTCCATCATTTATATAGTTTCTTCAACTTGGGTTTTCTTGTTTTTTAATCCACAAAAGTAAGGTTATATCTAGAAAAAAAAGATTAGAACTTTTGTTAGAATTATTATGAAAATTTTGCACATTGATTAGAAAGGATGAAATCTAGGTTGCTGCAGAGCATGTTGAGATCTTGAATGCTGTGAAAACAAAGCTCCCATTCTTAGTTACTACTGCAGATGATGTGAAGGATTCTGTTAAGGAGGATATCCGGTTGAGGTAGCTGGCTTTAGTTGCTCTCAGTTCATTTGGTGATTTATGACTTATGCTGGACTGACGATATGAATGGTTGATCTTTTATTTTTATGTATGTGCTGAGATTCAATTTGTTTTCTTCTTTTCCTTCATGGCATTTCTGATTTCTAGATCGGGAATTGGGGTTTTAACTCTTTTTTGTAATTGAATTATTTTCCAAAATATTAAAACATTGAGCAGTTAAAGATACAAGTCAACTTTTCTGCTACAGTTGAATTAATTATTCTGCATTTTCAGTAAATATTGTACTTGTGAATTTCAGAATCTTTGTGAAATGCTCTTCTAAGTTATCAAGCGTAACAGTTTATTTGCTGATACTGTACCATGCTGCTATTGATTTCTTCTCTCAATATCTGTTGAAAATCTCTCTATTTTCATATGCAAATTCCATCAAGGAAATTCGATTGTCATTTTCCATCTATATTATCTCTTGTTAATTTGGTATCTCTTGAGTAAAATCCTTGTTTCTTTTTTGACCTTTGTGATTCATCCAGAGTAGATGAGAATTTTTTTCGGTAGAAGATGTCTATAGAAATTTCCTATTCAATCTTCAAGTGTGAACAATTATAGGTTCTCTGTAATTAGATACATACCTCATATTTTTATTTCAAAAAAAAAAAAAAAAAAAAAAGGTTCTCTATAATTAGGAAATGTAGGAATTTGTGGGCTTTGGTCCGAGGCTGCCCAAAGGTTTTGAGTCCCCTTTATCTGGATAGAGTTTAGGACAATGAGCTATCTTGCTTTCTTGTAACTTTGTAGTTGATATGAATGCGTGGGTTCAACAAGTTACTTGCCAGTGTTTTTTCTTCATTTTATTTAGTGTCTTCCATGGAGATAGGTTAAAGGGATGAAACCATGTTAATTAGTATATCTCTTTTTCCTCACTTTGTGCGTGACTTCGTAGCAATTCTCCACATGGTAATCTTTTTTTCTTGAATTATCTGGAACTTTTCTGCTTAGATTCCTTTCAAGTTTCAGAGAATAAAGCTATAACACTTGTTGGTAGGTACCGATGCCTTGATTTACGCCGGCAACAAATGAACTTTAACATAATGTTGCGTCATAGAGTGGTTAAACTCATCCGAAGATATCTAGAGGATGTTCATGGCTTTGTGGAGGTATTGTCCTAAGAGTTTCATTTTTTCTTCACGTCAAAGTTTCTTTCCAGTTAGTTGGTTCATACTTTCTTTTGATCTTAACCTTTCGTGTCTGTAAGGCAGATTGAAACTCCAGTACTGTCTCGATCAACCCCAGAAGGTGCTCGAGATTATTTGGTACCCTCAAGAATTCAGGTGCTCTACATTCTGAAAGACCTACTTACCTTCATATAGCATCCTGGAACAGGCTCAGGAAATGTAAAAAGTTATCAAGCAGTCCTGGGATTCACTTGTGAAATTATTAACTGCATCTTTTGTTCAAGTCGATCTCTGTTTATTTATTAGTACTGGAACTATATATAAAATTTACTCATAACCCTAGTAACTCACTGGTGAAAGAGAGGAATCGAATTGAACAAAATGTTGGACAAGGTTTCCTGAAGAGTTAGTACTGTGTGTGTCCTTATCATGTGGCCAATTTTGATCTTCGTGGGTTCTGTTGCCTCTCAATTTTTTACTTAATTTTGTTTTAGATTTCTTCTTTGTGAAGTCTCTAGGAGGATATCTTATTCTCTATCATTGTAATTCATAACTTTCTTATTCCTAATAATACTTCTTTTTCTTGAAAAGAAAAATCCTGTATCATGCGAACAGTGGAAAATTCTGTTGGCCCTTAACTAATAAGTGGCCCGGCCATTGGACCTTTGGATCTTCAAGTGATAATTAATTTGATAATGCAGATACATAGGGAATCTGAATAAGATTAGGAAGAAGAACATGATAAACATTCTGTTACAAAGATTTGAACCTTAGTGAAGGAATAGTTGCATGAAGTTTTCTCAGGTTTTCGTGAATTCTACTCAAAGTCAATTGAAACTATTTCAACTAATAAATTTGTGTTTAGTTCCCCATATTTCATTATAAGTAATTAGGAATTCAAAATAATGTTATTATACTTTTATTTATCAGATTGAAAGTCTATAATTATTTAGAATTTAGTTTTAACTTGTTAATGGATATAAAACTATGAAACTTGAATTTTGATGGACTATATTTTTTCAATAAAAGAATTTTCAGATTATCCATCTTCTATTGTTAATGGATGAGCTTTCTCTTGAAATGTACCATTATTCCAATTTTCACTTTTTGATAGTTGAGTTTGCCATCTGAAAAGATTTTTTCTCTGCCTTGGTCTGAATTATGCAATGCTCATTGATACAGTTCTCTCTACAGGCTGATTTTTTTTTTTTTATTTATTTTTGTTTTCCTTATTAAAATTTGAGGTAGGGACTATCTTAGCCTTAAAGGATAAAATATATACTTAAAGGATTTGGATCCTTTATAGTTATTTAAGATTTAAAATTTAATGTCGTTGCAAAAAGACCTGCATGTTACAATCATGGATATACCTGCACATGACAATCATATGCATACTACTGTGGCGATGTAAATATTTATAAGCCTTGTCACTCTGGTTTTTTTTTTCTTTTTTTGCTTGTCTTTTGGAGTTAGCATTTGTTACTTGGAGTATATTTTTATTGCTTGCAGGTCTGATTCAATTTAATGTGTATTTTGAAGCCAGGAACATTCTATGCCTTGCCTCAAAGCCCACAACTATTTAAACAGATGTTAATGGTCTCAGGCTTTGATAAATATTATCAAATTGCCAGGTAATAATTTTTGCTTTCTGACTTGCGAACTTGTTATCATTCTAGCATGGTGGTTGCTCGCTTAGTTGGTTGGAATTTAGCAGCTTCATCAAGACCATGTTTATTGTTATTTTTGTGATTCAAAACAACAAACAAGCCTTTGCTTATATTGAATTTTGTTCTGAGTACTGCTGAATTGGTTAACTAAATTACGGTTTTGTTAATGGATATTGGATTGGATCATATTCGTTTACTTAAAATATCCCTCTATCTGCCAGATGTTTTAGAGATGAAGATCTAAGAGCTGATAGACAACCTGAGTTCACCCAGCTTGATATGGAACTGGCTTTCACTCCTTTGGAGGACATGCTGAAGCTAAATGAAGATCTGATTAGAAAGGTTTGTATATGTGGGAGATACTTGAGAGGATTGTGTAATGAACCTTCTAATATTTTGTTGGATGAGTTTAAATGAGGAAATAGACAGTAGCTCTGTGAGGTCAATAAATTTACAGGTTTTCTTCAGTGGTTTACTTGTTACGAGGTTTTATCCAATAAATTCCAAACTTGTAATATTAGAAATATATCTGCAAACGGGAGCTGGTGAAAATGTTATGTTGCTTTAGTAAGTACAAGGTTGTGAAGCAGGTTAAATTTGATTTTTGTTGAGCTCTGCTGTGTGATAAAGATTGATTTGGCAATTACTCTTTTTAAAAAAAAGATTCACTTGGCAAGTGCATGTAGTTAGCTCCTAAGTATGATGGTGTTTGTGGTAAACTGTAGCATCAAGCTTAATAATGAAAGTATATTTTATCATGATCAAGTACTGATATGAGTAAAGTAGATTGTGTTTAAAAGTTATATCGTTTTGCATATTAACTAAAACTGACAATAAGATTTGAGATATATTGCGCTTGTACGGTATTTGATGCAGAATTGATTAACTATAGATTATTTAAATAGATTAGAAATCATAGTTTGATTAAAACTACTATATTATTTAGGAGTTTATTGTTGTAGTTTTAGTAACTTTAGGATTTTATTTGATTAGTATTTACTTTTCCTATTTCTATTAGTGATATTATTTATAATATTATTAATACTGATATTTCCCATTTTATTATGGGTAATATTTATAATCTTATTAGTATGAGTATTTTTAAGTTTAATCCTACTTGGGAAAGACTTATTTGACATTCTATAAATATCTTTCTAATCTCTTTGAGATTATCATATTAGTTATTCAATAAAATATGTTGAAAATTTCTCTATTTTCTGGTTCTTTGATACAATTAAACTCTCGAGAGTTCTACGTAAGATTTCTTAAATGTGATGTCTATATTTTTATCTCCCAAATTCCTAATTATACAAATTAACCATAACTCATCCTGCATCAATATTATATGCTTGGGTCCCGATATTTGTTCCCGAGTTTTCCTACGATCAATAACTGTTGATATGCTTGTTGATATCCTGTATTAGGCACTTGTGATATTTGTCTGGTAAGTCTGTCAAGTTAATGCTTATGATAGATTCCTGTTGATTGCTTATTACCCTCTGTTGATTTGCTGATGTTCACTATTTTCTTTTCTCCTTGTTATATATATTTAAGGAAAGTTTTAACATGATCATATTGGGTAAGACAGGTGGTTATCTTGTCATTACTTGTGTCTATAAAATGGTTTATATTTGTTGGATTTGAAAAGTGATGTTCTTCATGGGTTCATTTCTTTGAGGAAATGTTGGGGCACAAATCTGATGATAGGAAGCACATATGTTCTTATGTGCAGAAGAGGTGGGACACAGAGGGCTTTGTTTGTTGCGTTTGACTTGGTCAAGATGACTCTGGACAATTTTTTTTTTTAACCAGGATTTAGCAAATAGTGTGGAAAATTGTGATTAATTTTGTTGACTAGTTGGAATATGCAGTCTTTTGGGATGATAGACTACTAAGGACATGACAAAAGTTCATTATCTTAATGTCAACAAGGATTGATATGGGATATAAAAAAGAAACAGGAATTATATGGCTTAGGACATGGATGCACCTAGCTCTCGAGACCATTCTGTTGGAATTTGTATTTTCTTGACTGGCAGTTAATTAACTACAATATTGTTGAACCTTTTTCTGCTCATCGTCTTTTTCATTTCCCTTCTACCTGGGTTGTGCTTTGTTTTTGTTTTTTTTTTTTTAACTTTCTTAATACATTTAGTTTTGATCTATTTAGATTAAAAAAAGGTATAATTAAAAAAACATGTTTTGTAGGTTTTTCAAGAGATTAAAGGTGTTCAGCTACCAAATCCTTTCCCAAGGCTTACATTCAGTGAAGCTATGGATCGATATGGTTCAGACAGGCCAGATACTAGATTTGCTCTTGAGTTGAAAGATGTGATTATCTCTTTTTTTACTTCTGTTTACATGCATCTTATGATTGTACCACACTGAAATTATCTTTTAACCTTAAAATTTATACAATTCAACATTTATTGAAGGGCATCTTGCTTTGAACTGTGCTACTACACTAATCTAACATTGTGGAATGTTACTAATCTCATTTGTATTTCTTTGGTTTAGTCCTTGATTCCTTTTGGGGATAGATATTACTTATAATGAACTTTTGTTTTATTAGCTCAAGAAAAGCAGGGATGCTAGAGGAACACATTTCTGGGAGCCAGCAAGAGTGCCTAATAGAATTAAAAAACGAGCTTGAATGAGCGATGTTTTCTAACGAGAGTAATTGGAGACAAAAGGCAAAAATCAAATGGGTAGAAGTAGGGGATGCTAATACATGCCTATTCCATTGCATGGTTAAAGGCCGTAGAGTTAAGAGTGTGACCAAGGAGCTAGAGCTTGAAAATGGGCAAGGGGAAGGAGAGGTGGGGCTATAGGTAAAGAGATCACTCAGTTTTACAGAAAGTTGTATATGGAAGAAGCCTCGTGCAGACAATTTCTGGAGGGAATTGATTGGGCACTGATTAGAAGGGATACAGCAGAATGGCTAGAACGATAGTTTGAGGAGCAGGAAATAAGTAGGGCATTGTGCAATTTAGGCAAGGACAAATCACCTATGCCCAGACAATTTCTATACAGTTTCTCAAAGTTGTTAGGACATGGTGAAAGGGTTTTTAGTGAGAGTATTTGTGGACTTTTATTTAAATGCCACCATATGGAAGAGTATGAGCTCCACCTTCATAACACTAATCCCGAAAAAAGACAAGTTCACAAAGGTCTCATACTATTGCCCAATAAGTTTAGTGAAAAATGTATACAAAGTAATTAAAAAAGTCCTTTATCGAAAACTTAGTGAGATATTGGATACTGAATTTTGCTAAACCAAAGTCTAGAGATGAGAATTGGAGCGAATGGCCGGCTAATGCATCCAGTCCACTCCAAATAGAGCAGTAAAGACCAGTAATTAATAAGGTTACTGGGTGAGTGTGGGTAGAAAGTTATAAATCTGCAATGGGTATAGAACGAGTATTGATTTAGTCATTTATCTGTCTTTCACCTGCTTCACCTTGCCCCACTGTATATATAATTAATAATTTTATTTTTATCTTTAATTTTACTCAAACTAATTAATTTTTGATTAATAAATGTTTAATATTGTATATTTATAATATTAGTTTATATTTATTATTAAGTATTATATTTAAATATTATTTTAAATCATATCTTGTTTCGGTTAATATTTAATATTTTTAATTGAATTATTTAAATATTTTATAAAATTTTTTAAAATTAAAAAAAAGGTAAATGGGGTGAGTAATGGTAGGAAATTTTACCTGGAGGGCGAGTGATCAGTAAATAATTTTTTATCCGCTATGAATATGGAGTAGGTATAGATTTATATTTTTATTAATGGAGCTGGTATGGGAATTGACATACCTGCACCATACTCACCTCGTGTTCACCCCTACCAAAGTTCCTCCATGGAAGATAGACAAATGTTCAATGCTAGTCTAGCAGTCAACGAGGTGGTGGGTTGTATTTGGAGGTCAAATGAGGCAGGGCTAGTCCTCGAGTTTGATTTCAAGAAAGATTATGACGGGGTCAGTTGAAGATTTCTTGAAGGCATTCTAGAGCATAAGGGATTTGGCCCAGGGGGAGGAGGTGGGTTCAAGGAAGTCTATTATCAATTTCACTTACGGTGATAGTGAAGGGAAAACCACAAGATTAGTTTCAAGCAACGAGAGGATTAAGGCAAGGGGATTCCTTTTCTCCCTTATCTTTACACTTGTGGTTGATGTGTTGAACAGGATGTTGACAAGAGGAACAGAGAGAGCTATCATGTAGGGGTTAGAAGGGAAGGACCGGATAGAAGTGTCACATTTACTGTTTGCTGGTGATACAATCTTTTTTTCAATGAAAAGTCCGTTGGAAATGCATTCGCTCTTATTCAAGTGTTTTGACTTATTTC